GTGATAGTACTTCGAATTCTCTACACATTTATAATTTGTGATGTTATTAATTCTTAGGAAAATGTAATCCCTAAATCTTTAGTTTGATAAACATACCGCGATGATGATCAAATCCTTTAAACTTAACAGCAGAGCAGTAGACTACCAAGTCTGAAAGGGCTTTTGCAATTCGTAATTTAGTCTTCTTAGGTTTAGCCTTTTTTTCTTTTTCTATCAAATATAAGAATAAAAGTCGTAATGATAATTTTAATATATGAATACATTAATAGGCATACTTAAAAAGACTTACCTTTAGATGATTCAACATCTGACTCAGTATCAGTAGTAGATTCAGTATCTGTGGTCGAGTCGATATAGTCTTCTGATAAATTAGGAGGAAGATTTTTCCCCTGATTATGAAGGTTTAAATTTCATATAAATGTGTTAATAATGTTCGATAAGAAATTTATAAGAAAAATCTATTACTAATCATAAAATGCTTACTTTTAATATTATTTTATATAACAAGCTTGCAGGACTCGGTAATTCGGTTTCGTTTTCTGATATGAACTTAGTGACGAGATATTCACCCAGTGTGTTAAATAAAATAGAAGCCATTTGATTTTGTTGGTTAATATTACAATGAACCTCAAGTGATAATATTAGTGGGTATGCACTGGCTTTGAATGCGTAGGTACGGATTGCTGAAATAACGTCTTGAAACTTGATTTTAGACGTCCTAATTTATGATAAAACTCGTCATTATAATTATAACAAAACTACATGCAAGTTAAAGTTTAATTACAATGTATGACCATGAGTAACTATGGGACCATCAGGTCCGTCCCAGCAATCAACTAGGAGAGAAAACAAGTATGATTTATGAGTAATTTATAAGAATATAATAAAGTTTCTTGCAAGTATAAAAGGTCTAATTTGCGTATGAGATAAATTTATATTCATACTTTCAACACAACGACATCCTCTTTGTAACGCGCGTATGTATCCTTCAACTGAAGATTCACCTGTCAGTTGATGTCCTAGAAGATATCTAAATTATAAATAAATCAATGAAAATAATTGATTAATTAATTAAATAACGGGCTTTTAAAGATATTCTGACGTACGTATTGTGCGAAGAATCGATGAAATAATGACTTAGTGGCTGTGACATGTCTTGATAAATTTTGGCGTGTTCTGAAGCAAAAACGGCGTTGTCGCTAGACATGAGGAAACTACTAAATCCCTCTAAATTCATCTCTTTAAGGTCTTTATCACAAAATTTATAATACAAATTATCATATTCCTCCTCTTTCAAGACGCACTGACTCATTATAAAACAATGATGTTAGTCAAAGTATCCATCTAATAAATTAATTAGAGCGTATAGTAAAATAAATGTAATTAACAAATAATAATACAAATATGCACCTTTTGAACATCGACGAGGAAGTCTTTGAATTCACGAAGTGTTAAAGTATTTTCGCGCTCTTTCGCCAGAGAATTGAATAGTTCATCCAGTTCAACTCTTTTCTTAATTAACTTAACAAATCGCTGAAAATCAGTAAAATCAAGCCAACCATCCATATTTCCATCTGCTTCCTAGAATTAAGATTATCAGAAATTGAGATTAAAATAAAAATAATGATAATAGTAATTATTCAACATGATAATACATGCAACAATACAAACATTAAATTTGGTCCTAAGCAGCGCCTTTGACATGTTTATATTCAAATGACGGCATAACCTTGTGACATCATCGAAACCTAATCTTGAATCTCCATCTTTATCAGCCTGCTTCCAGTGTTGTTTCAGCCATAAAGATTGCCGTTTTCTCAAATGACCTAATCCTCCGATCATATCCCTTCTGTGCAAATATA